AAAGTACAAGGGTCGGGGTGGGAAGCGCACGAGTCGCATGGCGAACTAAATCGTCATCAGCACCTTATGAATGGGACCTAAGATATTACGTGGATAGATCGGTCTGTCGAGATTTTATTTCTTTTGAGGTGGAAAAGATCCGTTGTAGGAAGCGGAATGTGAGGATATTGATCACCAGAAGGATCTCGTACGCGACGTAGCTAGTCAAGACTGGAACAAGGACCGGTCAAGATGAGATCGGTATCGATATTTCCATGAACACATACTTGTATTCGCGAATGCACGAAACAAATACACGTGGACATGAATGTCACGAGAAATGGTGCTCTTTTCATGGCACTACGAAAAAGCGAAGTATAAGCCTCGGGGTGACGTCTTTCGGTCCACCGAGAGGTGCACAAAGATGAGGTCCAGATTAGCATAAGGTAGAAAATAGTTCCAGTAGGTATCACGGATCCAAAAAACCGGACTAAGGAACCTTAGAGTTTTACAAAAATGCTTTTCGAATTTCATGCACCTTCACATTATCGTACAAAATTCGACATCCAGAAGAACGCAGATATTCGAGCTCGCACTTGGCATTTTTATTCGAACATCTTGTAAGTGATAGCTTGCCGCGTCTTAACAAACTTCGTCTGCTAGGTATCACTTGTGGAGATCAAGTTGGCATCAATGACGGCGCCAGATTGGGCTTGCCGGCGTCTCGACACAGGGCAACTTTTGTAACGGGCACTCTTTTTCGGAGTGCCACGAAAATTCACGTACACTGATACGTGCAGAGGAAGCTAATTTACTTAATCGACTCGTTTGAGAAGAGGTAAAAAGAGAACTAATTTTGATGTAGTTAAGCCATCGATATAACTTTAATTATTATCTAACTATAGCAACCTACATTGTTGTATGACGACAACCTGTGTGGTGAAGTCGATCTCACAAAATTGCTTGTATGAGTGTCGATCTTCCACTTGCCCAGACTTGCCGACTCACGGAGGGGGTACTCCGATCCGTGCCTTGTTGTATGACCTTGTGCTCACCTTGTGTACCCGTCGGTTGGGCTGGCTTGAGCTCTTCGTAACGGCCTTGGGAGATGTAGATCTCGCTGAGAGGTTGGGTTGAGGGTTCGCTTCCGGTGCATAAATCTTCACACCACGAACGGGGGTTCTGCGATCCCGATCTTGGATCGCACCGATCTTGATTTGTCTTCGAGATCGGGGTCTTTGCTGTGCGGAAATCTTCACTCAGCAAAAAAAGGTCCTGCGTTGATCTTGCCTTGGGATCGGTCCGATCTGGTCTTGGGATCGGCCGATCTTGCCGGAAGTGCGCAATTTGGGTAGATCGGTGTCTTGTTTCGCCAAAATGAAACGTGCCGATCTGTCCAGGGGATCGCTTCGATCCTGCTCGGTCTTGTCTTGAACTCCTTGTCCAGATCTTCTGACCATTTGAGCCGTCTCGCGATCCTGTGTCCAAAATCCTTTTCCTTTTCCGTTGTGTGCTGCTACCCTAGCAGTTGAGTTGAGTGTGAGTACTTGATCGATCCGGGCCAGATATCCCGGGATCGCTCTTCTCGATCTTGGCCAACAATCCAAGATCGGTCTTCTGTGTCCCTGTAACACGCGTGCCTTAACCCGCCGGGGAAGCCAAATCAATCTTGCCTGGAGAAGAGGGGAGGATAACGTGCGTCGTGAGCAGAAGAAGTAGAGTTCAAGTCTGTTTATTAACCAACCAAATTACTATCCAACCTACCCTTAAGCCTATTCTTAACTATAGGTCACTCTTCAAACCGATATCGCCTTGAATCTGGATCGCCCCCTTGCCACGTGTCGAAATTTCGTGCCCTGTACTCCAATGATAGCGCCAATATCCCCGATATCGTACCTAGAGCACCAAATGGACCAAAATCTTCTATATGGTACCAAATACCCATTCTTGGCACCCAAGTACCCAATATATGACCCAAAATGCCGAATGTGTCCCAATTCACTTTGCGACGTTAATTCGGACAGCTTCCACTGGCTCTTTCGGCATGAAACTTCTTGACATCACTTAGTGACCTCTATCAAGTATATTCCACATGATCCAGTATCTTCATCAACCATATATTCATGATCAGTGTGGAACATGACCGATCTGTCATCCAATATCGAGATGTTGGAGGTCGATCTGGTCTAAATCGGCAATTAACACTTTTTCATCTCCTCATACGTGCTTCAATATCATCCTCCAGTGTTATCCAATCGACAACTTCATTCATACGTCTCGACATCGGTTTCCTTGACTCCCTGAGTATGCAAAAACTTCCAGATCGGTGTATAATTAACCAAAATCAGTACTCCCAATTTAGGATCAGTAAAGTATCACCGATCCGTATGGTGTTGCACCTTCTTTGCCGATTCACCGACCCGTACCACCTGGTCTCAGATGCACTTTGGGGAGTCACCTTGTCCCAGATATGTCAATTCTCCAACAAACCGTTGCCACAACATGTCGATCTGCGATCTGATCTTAGCCTGCTTCAATGTACGTATACTTCTTCTTGACCGGCATTCCAATGAGCTGTATGACTTCATCCCGATGTCTGGTTCCAGATCGCCCCATAACATTCTGCAAGATGTTACACCTTCGTCGCAGAGTCATATCCCATCACCCGGTCCCAGATCCTTGTCCCAGATTGTTCCATGTAAATCGTTCCAGATCGCTCCGTCCCAGGTCGACCCATACCCATTAGTCTAACGACAGTTGGATCGGTTCGCCGATCCCGTTAAGATCATCTTCCACCTCCGTATTGGATCGCCGAGTCTCATGGCCTCCTTTTCCACCAGTAAGCGGCGCTTTAAAGGTGTGGCCACCGATCCTCGTACAAAATTTGAGTAGTGACTTTGCCATAACCGCCCCCTGTACTGAAGTCTTTTGTACAGCAATTGACCTCAGTACACTCACTCATCAACTTCGTTCCAAGCACTCAAGTCCGTCTCATGGCCTCTCCGACGCATCCACATCATTCAGGAAGGTAATTCACTTGACTATCTCCATACTCACATACAAAAACCTCATCCACCAGCATGTGCTACCGTCTAGCACATCTTTCAACCCCAACATCCGCATATGCTACCTCCCGCATACTTGTTCGAACTGTTAAGGTTCGTCCGACTTGCCTTCATGAGACTGCATTACGTCGAAACGGTTTCGACTCACTCGGTTCCGCTCAAACTCTTGCAAGATCGCCCCACAACTTAGATCGGCCTCGTCCACCCAACTTAGATCGGGATATCCCTTCCACTTCACCAGAAACTGCCGGTGTACTCGCCCATAACGGGTTTTTCTACCAGATCGCACGTCCAATATTGCCTCTACTTCGTATTCCCCTTCTTCAAGATCGTCATCCCAACTGTCTTCTGGCAGCAGAGCTTCATCGAAATCCAAGCGATCTGATCCCTCTATCGTAAGCTGATCCTTCGGGCGTTCAGGGAACGTCTTTACCTTTTTTAGCTTCGATATATGTACAATCGGAAATAACCGATATGGGGTTCCAGCGATCTCCAATTTTACAGCATGATCTCCACATACGTCCGCAACTCGAAATGGCCCATGCCACATGTGCGCTAGCTTCTTCGCATATCCCTCTTTAACTCGGTCCAGGTATAGCCAAACTTGCGCTCCTACTTCGATCTCGTGTGGTTCCAGATCTTCGTTGTGTCGATCCGCTCGCTCCTGGATCGCGGCTTGTAAACGATCGTTCACTGTGGATCGGGCTCGCTGGTATTGTCTTTGGATTTTGTATCTCCACCTCTTTGGATCGCGATCTCGTGTCCCCGTATTTCCCACTGGTAGCGTAGCCTCCAAAGTCGATCGCGGGTCCCACCCATGAATCAGATAAAACGGGGTATCCCCCCGGATCCGATCTTGTGCAGTGTTAATGGCAAATGTGAGTCGCTCAGCATACTCATCCCAGTCTCGCTGGTCAACTTCAGCCACGTACATCTTGAGCGAATGTGTCAGGGTTTGCACCATTCGTTCGGCTGTTCCATTTGCTTGTGGCCTGTAAGCCATAGTAGCACGCTGTTTTTGTCCTACGATCCGACTGAAGGCTCGAAAGAAGTCGGACATAAATCCCGGTTCTCGATCGTGCCTGATAGCCTCGCTAGCTCCGAAGCGTCGAAACACACATTCTTCGTAATTCTCCGCTATTGTTTGTGCCGTCCGAGAGGAGCTAGCCTTTGCAATCACATATCCCGAGAAAAGGTCGACCCAAATGAGCAGTTCGGTGTTCCCCTTGATGGACTTGGGCAACGACGGTATATGATCCATGGCGATGAACTGGAATGGATAGGTTGCGTGTAGATTGCCCGGGGATTTCCCATGAATCATCGGGTTTCCTTTCCCGGTCTCACAGTCGGTACATTCGCCCACATATCGTTGAATGCTCCGATACAGTCCTCTCCAATGAAATCGCGATCTGATCCTCTGATAGATTCGGCCAATACCCTGATGGCCTCCTTCCAGACTCGTGTGATAGTGATGCAAAAAATCCTGCTGCAACGTCTCAGGGATCACCAATCGCATCAAACCATCGCGATCTTTCAACTCTCTTTTCGCCATGGGGCAAAAAAATAGCAGATTGTTCTCATCGATCTCGTATTCCGGCGCCAGTTTGGCGCACATCTTCACTTCTACCGCATCCAAGTTTGATACATCGCCACTTAGATATGTCTTGAGATTGACAATCCAACGCTCTTCATCTTGAGCTTGGACAATTCGTTGAATCCTGATCCTCTGTACTATCTCCTTCTGTATCACTTCAGGTTCATGACGTATCCTCCTTGCTGATCTCGCGATCGCAGTTACCCGAGCTAGCTGACCATCTTGCTTGGGCTTCAACAATTCATCGAGACGGTTCAGAGTCATCAGATCTTGCCGATCCTCTTCAGCTACAACCGTTCTTCCCTTTTCGCTCTGCAATGCTGTGCTGGCTAGTCGATCTGCGCTCTGATTCCACTCTCGCTTCATATGCAGAAACTCGTGACTAGGCCATGACTGCAGCTTCTCCAACGCTTTTGTCTCAGAAGCTGAAGGCCCGGTGCCTTGCAGTCGATCTCACCGCGCATCTGTCGAATCACCAGACTGGAATCTCCACACAGTATTACTCGCCCCCTATCCAGATCGGCGAGTAACTCAAAGCACAGTAGCAAGCCATTATACTCAGCTTCATTCACAGTCAGATCGTGAACATATCTCGATTCGGCCGCCACGATCGTCCATTCGGGTGACTTCCATATCACGGCACTGAACGACCCTCCTTTCTTTTTTATCCTAGCCGATCCATCGAAACTGGCCACCAGCAACTCCTCATCTGTTTCCACCGTTGGAGGATGCATCGATATTTTGAGTCGACAGTCTTTTCGTGGGGAGATCGCAATCAGCATCTCTTCCACTTCTCCTCTCGGAGTAATACTCGCTGCTAACATGCCCAGGATCTCTTCCTCTCCTCTTTCACATTTCTTCACCTCCATAGTCCAATTTGACAACAAAGCAGCCCACCGTCCTAATCTCCCGTTGAGCCCTCGAGACTGCATCAACCAGGCTAACGTAGAATGTCGGGTCAGTACAGTGATCTCTCGCGAGGCAAGCGTAGTATAGCATACATCCAACACACGAAGTAGCGCCAGCACTTCTTTTTCTACCGTTCCGTAGTTAAGCTCATTAGGCTTTAAAGTGCGGCTAGTAAACGTCACCGGATGGTACACGCCATCGTACTCCTGTATCAGGGCCGCTGAGACAGCCCACTTGCTAGCGTAAACCACGATTACGGGGGACCGATCTGGGTCGAAATGCTTGAGCATGGGAGCTGTAGCTATCTTAGCTTTTAGCATAGTGAAAGCAACCTTGGCTTCCGTCCATCGACCCTCGTTGGAGCATTCGTCTCCTGCTGCAAGCTGAGATCGGCCGATCTCGAAGAAATCCGATTCTCTTAACTCATACAACACCGCGGCATACACCGCGAAATCCTCAATGAAGCGACGGTAGTAGTTCAAGCTCCCGAGAAAGGATTGCATAGCTCGTAGCGTGCTAGGAAACGGGATGTTAACCAACGACTCTAGGTTCTTGGGCTGAGCCTCCAGACCATCCATCGACACTCGATGTCCCAAATAATCGACCTTACGGCACCCCCAAAAGCTCTTCGTGAGGCTGATAGACAGATTCCGCTTATCACATGCCTCCAGCAACCGTTCTACTTTTGTGTACAAAGATCCCCATGACGTGGCTGGTATGAGAATATCGTTAATGTAAGATCGGCGTCCCAGTATAGACGGTCGTCGATCTGTCTCAGGTTCTCCATCTTTAAACACGTCGATCGGGCCATCAGAAGCTGATCTCTGGCCGATCTTGAGATATCCATACAACGCATTGTCCACCAGACGTTGGTAGATCTGGGGCGCGTTCTTAAGCCCAAAAGGCATTCGCAGCCACTCGAACAAGCCAAATGGTGTGACAAACGCTGAGATCAGTTTTGCTCGTTCAGTCATTTCGACGACCCAAAATCCACTAGCCATGTCTAGCGAACAGTACCATAGAGCTTTATCCAGATCTTCCAACAGATCGCTGATCAACGGCATGGGATAAACCATCAGACGCGTCAGCTGGTTCACTCTTCGATAATCAATGCAAAGGCGAATATCCACTCCGTTCTTCTTGATGATCACCACTATCGGAGACGCCCAAGGTGACGTGGATGGCTGAACGATTTTGGCTGCTAATAGTCCTTTGATGAGATCTGACAGCTTCTTCCGATATTTGGGTGCGACCGGACGCACTCTTTGCGCTATCGGTGCTGCCCCACCGACATCAATATCACAGATCGCGCCTCGTGCTGCTGGTGGTAGAGCATTACCTTTACCCATGAGGAGGTGACGGCTCTTCCAGATCAGCGATCTGAGCCGTTGTTGATCTGTGGTGAGAGGCACATCGGGATCACCGATCTGAATGTCCTCAATCGTAACTTCTTCCGTAGTCGCCGACATCTCTGGTAGCACGGCCATATGCTGCTCGATATCTTCCGCAAACAAATCTCCGCTCTCGTAGTGATAAACTGGTATTTCTGCGATCTCGACGTCTTCAGTATTTAGCATTATTTCTTATTTATGCTCCTTCGTCTCTTCCGGCTGGCCCAATTTCAACAGTCGGTAAGTCGGCTTAGCCTTCGGTAGATACGATCTGTCACGTAGCCCTTCTTGCCCGGTGTCGCGGTCTCCCTTCGTTGCATGTTGGGTACCGATCTCATGACCGTTCTCCATCCGCGATAGTTCGGCTCCCCTGACCGTTACTTCCCTCGCAACTACAGCATCTGCCTTTTGTGAATCGTCATCGTTAGCTTGCGGCGTTACCGTGGAGATCGCCGGAGACAGGTTCTGTAACGCATCAGACGGACGTTTCAAGATGCGTTTGGGAGCGGCATACGTAGGACGATCTACCAATGGTCCGATCGGTTCTTTCGGGAGTTCGTTCACTCGATCCGTCGTAGCCTCATATGCCAGAGTTTGCCATTCCTTGTACTTCCCCGACCCGACTGTCACCAAACCTTGAGTTCGCGGTACCATATCGCCTTCGACCCACATGCCTAATATAGTGTGGGTGGGCAGTATGATCTCACGGTCGCCAATGTTGGTCATCTGTAGGTATTTCGTCTTACCCCACCCCGAGATCACAGTGGGGACCCAATCTAGTCCTCTAGCGACCCACAACTTCATCTTAGCCCCTCCGATCCCGATCTTCACTTCCCTTGACTCTCCGACCGGGATCACCACGTGTTGGTCCTTCGCCGTTATATGTTGTATCTTCGATCCGTACGCGGGGCGACGTCCTGCGAGATGAATGCGGATTTCTTCTGGTAGACATAGCGCGCCATCCGCTAGATCGAGCCGCACTCCAGCAGGCACCATAAAATCCATACCCAGAATCGCTTCTTGCCCTGCTAGATCGCCTACCCATACATTGAAATAGTATACCAGCGATCCCGCGAGAGTCACCTTGATCTTGGTACGTCCTACCGTCATGTACGGAGTTTCTCCAATCCCGATACATTCTTGTCGTTGACTTTCGTCAATATTGCAACCGACCTCACGAGCAAAGGTGGTGTCAATGATCGACACTTCAGCACCAGAATCAAATAACAGAGTAGCTTTTACGTTGTTGATCTTGCCAACGGCTTTCGCTTGTTTGAACCACTTCCCGGGTGAATAAGGTTTCCAGTATCCGCGAGATTCACCATAAGCGAGCTCGATCTCCATAGCTGGTTCAAAGATCGTGAGTACTCATCGATCCGCTTCAGATGGGACACGGAAGCGACACGTTTTAACTTCGAACGAGATATATTTGTTTCCACGTCAATATCCTGCTTACTCTCGCGATCTGTCTTCTTTTTTTCCACGTATGCAATAATGCAGAGCCCAGAACGCTCGGCTCGTACCAGATTCAAACCTGGCGAGCGTCCTAGTTTAACATCTTCTCGGCCTTCTCTGGTAGCATCCCCGCATGCTTATTCGGGACGTACCACTGACGGATCATGTTGTAGAACTCCTCCATGGGACACTTCCCCGGGTCGTGCATCTCACCGCAAGCACGACACACAAAAAAACAATTGTCAGAGGGGTGTCCTTTACGCCCACACTTCTGGCAAGTGAGCCGCTTCCAGCAACCGAGATCTCCATGCTTGGTCGATCCGCAATGAGTACACGGCTTCAATGGCATATTGCGATCTTGATAGTCTTGACGAGTGTTCGGGTCGACCGATCTCGCGTTTGCTGCAACGTCATTGGGGGATGAACGGCGATCCGCAGTAGCAGCCACATGGATCGATCTCAATCGATCTTCCAAATCTGATCCGCAGGTGTCCGATCCTGACTATCTGCAGACGTCCTCGGTACGGACCATCCTTACCGCTCGTGCAGGCTTAGACAGCGCTGCACCCTGAGTTCCCTTCTGCCTGAATTTGGACGATCCCATCATCACTTTCCCTTGACGCGATCTCCCTTGTTGATATCCGTGCAGTGTCTTTTGCATGGCCTCCGCGTCTTCTACATTCAGCAGTAGCAATTGATTGGACAGATCGGGGTCGTCCAAGGTGTCAATGAAATGATTGACATGTTCCTTGCGCGCAGCTGGCAATCCAGTCATCACCGGTATCTTCGCCTGCATTCCCATCACATTAAGCCGATACAGGTACTGTAAAGGATCTTCCTTTGATCGTTTCTTTGCATGGTAGTACTGCCTGCTCGCGGACATCCCGTGTCCCGCATACTCCACAAGAAAACTGTTCATCAATTCTTTCCAATTGAATCTCGTCGATCTACTCAGCTGTCGATACAAGTAGCGGGCTGGGCCCACCATGAGATCACCGAAGACCAGACATCTCTCCTCGTCCGGTGCTTGGTCCCGGATAAACGCTGATTTCACTTTGCCGATCCAGGTCCGTGCTTTGTCTTCTTCCCGATCCTTCCCTGAGAATTCTTTCAGCTCAGAAATCGCTGAGATTCTGATCCTCTGCGTGATGCTTCCCCCTCCGGTAGTCGCACCGGTCGCGGCTACATGAGGGCGCCGTGGTTCGGGCATCCATAGATCATCCGGGTCGTATTCCGCCCCCTCATGGATATGTTGGTAAATGTCCGACCCCACCGACTCCATCTCCACATCCGGCATGTCAAGGCTTTCGTGTGAAGGTTGGAGCAAAGTACGTCGATCTGGGTAGCGGTTTGGCTGTCGATTCATTCGCTGAGCTGTACGTTGATCCGCCTCGTACTTCTTCATGGCTGAATTGAAGTACCGACTTAGATCGCCCTCTTCTTGATTCTCCAGCCCAGTGCGGGTACTGGCCGATCTCTGCGGCATGTTGCTCTTGGCTTGTCCCTTATAGGCGTAGATCTTGGCTTGTCCGATCTTGTCCTTTAAGAACCTTCCACCAGATGGTCCTTGAGACATCTGACGAATGCTGATGGATCCATCTGAATCGCTCTCGGAGTCATCCGAGGCGTAGCGGGGCGATCCCGCGGGGTGTTTACAGAGCGAGCCCGAGGGCGTCCCGATCTTGTCTTCAGGAGTATTCGCTTTGCCCACCAGCATTATCATGATCTCTACAAACCCATTCGCCGCGTCCTTCAACTGTTCCAAGCTGCAACTCAGCAGTTCATCTCCATCAAAAGCGTCAGGGCAGATACCCACGTCGTCCAACATCTGCAAAATCACATTGATCTCGTCGACTTTGTTGGTCCCGTGAGGTGGGACCGAGATCGGCTTATCCAGAGGACCAATCACCTTGGGCCTTAATATCTTGAACACTGGGTCCGTCTTGAGCAGCGTCTTCAACTGGCCATAATAGTACTGCCATTTTGCACGCTCCCGCGCTTCACCCGTCGTCTCCTTCTCCATGGACGCGATCTTATTGGGTTATATTCCGTCTTTGGCATCGCGATCTTATCTGGTGTTTCATCGTATTCCTCTTTGGCTCCGATCTTCGTTTGCACGGTTCGGCCGATCTGGCGATCTTTGACATCTGATCCCATCGATCTCGTCGCGGATCGTTCTGATGTGGTCGATCTCGCGATTGTGCTCTTCGGCTTGAGGTCGGGCGATCTATCGACTAAGATATAGGGTTTGGCTTTCGCCGATTTGGTTTTCACCATTGGATTTTCATCCAGAAGATCGCTCTTTGCAGAGCGATCTGCGGTGGCCCCCGAAGGGACCCTAGGAGGGAATTGAGGTTTATCTTCCAGATCGATCTCTCGATCTTCCTCTTTCATTTTCATTTCATCAGAGCCCCTCCCAAAACTCTGATGATCTGAGGATCTTGTGCTTCTGCGTGTCTGCGTCGATCCCTTTGTCGCTGACACTTCAATCCCAGGTTCTTGCTTAATCGTGACATCTTCGCCAGTGGACTCACGGTGAAATCCAGAGGCCTCAGAAGATCCGGGCACGCGCACCATTGTGGTGAAGTCGATCTCACAAAATTGCTTGTATGAGTGTCGATCTTCCACTTGCCCAGACTTGCCGACTCACGGAGGGGGTACTCCGATCCGTGCCTTGTTGTATGACCTTGTGCTCACCTTGTGTACCCGTCGGTTGGGCTGGCTTGAGCTCTTCGTAACGGCCTTGGGAGATGTCGATCTCGCTGAGAGGTTGGGTTGAGGGTTCGCTTCCGGTGCATAAATCTTCACACCACGAAAGGGGGTTCTGCGATCCCGATCTTGGATCGCACCGATCTTGATTTGTCTTCGAGATCGGGGTCTTTGCTGTGCGGAAATCTTCACTCAGCAAATAAAGGTCCTGCGTCGATCTTGCCTTGGGATCGGTCCGATCTGGTCTTGGGATCGGCCGATCTTGCCGGAAGTGCGCAATTTGGGTAGATCGGTGTCTTGTTTCGCCAAAATGAAACGTGCCGATCTGTCCAGGGGATCGCTTCGATCCTGCTCGGTCTTGTCTTGAACTCCTTGTCCAGATCTTCTGACCATTTGAGCCGTCTCGCGATCCTGTGTCCAAAATCCTTTTCCTTTTCCGTTGTGTGCTGCTACCCTAGCAGTTGAGTTGAGTGTGAGTACTTGATCGATCCGGGCCAGATATCCCGGGATCGCTCTTCTCGATCTTGGCCAACAATCCAAGATCGGTCTTCTGTGTCCCTGTAACACGCGTGCCTTAACCCGCCGGGGAAGCCAAATCAATCTTGCCTGGAGAAGAGGGGAGGATAACGTGCGTCGTGAGCAGAAGAAGTAGAGTTCAAGTCTGTTTATTAACCAACCAAATTACTATCCAACCTACCCTTAAGCCTATTCTTAACTATAGGTCACTCTTCAAACCGATATCGCCTTGAATCTGGATCGCCCCCTTGCCACGTGTCGAAATTTCGTGCCCTGTACTCCAATGATAGCGCCAATATCCCCGATATCGTACCTAGAGCACCAAATGGACCAAAATCTTCTATATGGTACCAAATACCCATTCTTGGCACCCAAGTACCCAATATATGACCCAAAATGCCGAATGTGTCCCAATTCACTTTGCGACGTTAATTCGGACAGCTTCCACTGGCTCTTTCGGCATGAAACTTCTTGACATCACTTAGTGACCTCTATCAAGTATATTCCACATGATCCAGTATCTTCATCAACCATATATTCATGATCAGTGTGGAACATGACCGATCTGTCATCCAATATCGAGATGTTGGAGGTCGATCTGGTCTAAATCGGCAATTAACACTTTTTCATCTCCTCATACGTGCTTCAATATCATCCTCCAGTGTTATCCAATCGACAACTTCATCCATACGTCTCGACATCGGTTTCCTTGACTCCCCTGAGTATGCAAAAACTTCCAGATCGGTGTATAATTAACCAAAATCAGTACTCCCAATTTAGGATCAGTAAAGTATCACCGATCCGTATGGTGTTGCACCTTCTTTGCCGATTCACCGACCCGTACCACCTGGTCTCAGATGCACTTTGGGGAGTCACCTTGTCCCAGATATGTCAATTCTCCAACAAACCGTTGCCACAACATGTCGATCTGCGATCTGATCTTAGCCTGCTTCAATGTACGTATACTTCTTCTTGACCGGCATTCCAATGAGCCGTATGACTTCATCCCGATGTCTGGTTCCAGATCGCCCCATAACATTCTGCAAGATGTTACACCTTCGTCGCAGAGTCATATCCCATCACCCGGTCCCAGATCCTTGTCCCAGATTGTTCCATGTAAATCGTTCCAGATCGCTCCGTCCCAGGTCGACCCATACCCATTAGTCTAACGACAGTTGGATCGGTTCGCCAATCCCGTTAAGATCATCTTCCACCTCCGTATTGGATCGCCGAGTCTCATGGCCTCCTTTTCCACCAGTAAGCGGCGCTTTAAAGGTGTGGCCACCGATCCTCGTACAAAATTTGAGTAGTGACTTTGCCACACCTGCTCACCACTCATTACGCGCGTCTAGCAGCGACTGGTTGCAATCTTGGTTAATATGTCTTGTATCAACCAACCTTAGAGCAGCGCATGAATTTTTTTCAACAAGGGGATAATATTCCTTCAATATTACCTATCTCAAATAATATTGGCAGGAGATTGTCACGCTGGACAATCTCCCTATTGACACCATTTGGTGTCAATATCATGTAGCAGGATATCCCGTTACATCACCCCCCCCTTAACCATCAATTAACCCGTTAATTGAATTAATTTTATCGGGGACAGGGTGATCGCCTTTGGATCACTCTGGGAAAGGGTAGCACTTGTTGGTCAAATTTCA